GATAATTTGTTTTTTTTTGTTATCAACAGAACATTTTCGTTGATTTTATTAACATATTGAATTATAGATCACTTCTTAAAATTACCCATTGTTGAGACAACGTTTTACGCAACTTGTTTGAAACATATAAACGATCGTATACTCTTTTACGTTAAAAAATCTAGACGTATATTCATTGACAGTGAAAGGATATTTCATATACGATTCTTACAAGAATTTGAATAGATGAGCTTGAGGTATGATTGGTCATTCTGTACAAAAATAAGAATTGCAGGTTAGAATTTTGTTTGAAAATGTACTTTCAGAAACAGTTCAGATCCTTGCAAAATGTATGCAAGAAATAAAAGAAATATGATGTTTGAAAATGGAATAACTGATACTGAAGAAAATGAAAATAATTTTAACTTGCTTAAAAGACGGCGAAGGAACATATGCAGCACGTCAGATTCGGAATCCGACTCAGTCGAAAATGATGCCGAGAATACAAAGTGCAATATAACATGGACCTCTAAAAATTTCATGCCACAAATACATACATTTTCCACGAGGAATTCAGGAATAAAGAAGAAATTACCCAGATTGGCATCTATTTTAGACTATTTTGAACTATTTATTTCTGAAGAGCTCGTACAATATATTGCAGATGAAACTAACGACTATCATAACGGGCTCAGAAGTATAATAACAATTTGGACGCCCCGACGACAGTAGACGAACTCTACTGTTTTTTTGCGTTATCTTTATTGATGACACGCAACAAAAAACTAACAATATGCCACGTCCGGGGTATGTATTGCCAGTTACGGTACATCCTACCGTCAGTGCATAAATTTTAATATCGCGTCCGGCTCGATGTTCTGGGGTGGCTCCAGTGATGTCTCGCTCGGTACGCGTGTTGTAGCAACCGTTTTAGTTCAACCGGTACGTACGCCCGACTATAACAGGGAAACCGCGGAATCACGGGACTTACAGGTCTTACAGGGACTTACAGGTGGCGTTTCTGGATCGAAGGTAATGGCGACGAGTTTCCACTCGGAGCAGGTAGTCGACCCGACTCGGAGACTATGACGCTCGACGGGAGGGAGAAGTCTTCCGTTGCTATCTCCCTTGCCGTGAAGATCGCGCACTAGTTTGCGTAATTGATATTCTCTCCCGGCGCGGTGCGCTCGCGGTATTTATCTTACGCTCGAGCGCACGATTGATTATACCGTGCAGCTGTGTCTGCACCTCTGTATATCTCTC